GTCGTGTGTGCATCCGGTCGTCACTGATGTCGCGCGCCTGCTGTACCGGCATTACAGACACTTTTTATAACAAGGTCAATATCCTCGTAAAGTCTTCGACATGATGTTATGTCGCTGTCACGATCATCGACATCGAAGCCGTATGATTTTAGATTTATACTCGAGCAGTACTGCAGTAGCGTCCGTCACTGTGATACCGATTATTACCACAGTGACCTATGTAATATGTTTGATTTCTCAAGGCGTTTGCGGATATGCATCCATCCGTACACCAATCATTTTACGCGTCTTTATAATCCGGTGATTAATGATTATTATACATTTCACTTCATCGTAGACTTTATTTGCCATAATGCTGTCATATAACATATTTATATAATTATATTATTTCTCAATTATTCTACGTGTGTATAAAATATGTTTGATGTACGTCAGTGTTAGCCGTTATGGTCCGAACTACCTATGCAGTAATGTGTAAAACATAAAAAAAAGATGCGATTCGCATTCGCAAAATTTTAAACTTGTTCGGGTAGTGCCCAGGCACGCCCTGTGCGCACGCCTATGGATGCGAAGTATAACTTCGGAAGACAGAGGTCCTTGTAATTGTTGTCGACGACGTCACGGTGAGTACCTAGTAACCTAAATCACCTTGTTAATTGTTTTAATTTTAAAATTAAATCGATGTTTATAAGTTGAGATTTTAAATGATTCTTCTCGCTAAAAATAAATGTATATTTATTATTCCATGAAGTTAAATCAGAAAATACTTTTTTTCCTTCTTTGTTAAAATAATGTTGTTATGAATATCATATAATTATATAAATATACTCAAAGTCTCAAAATCCTTATTATTCTTAACTCTTATACTTCTTAACGTTTTAAAACGGAACAATGATGTTTTGAAATGTGTTGCTCTGCTACTGTAACATGAATATAGTAATAAACTAAAAAATAACATTCACAAAACAATGTTATAAGAATAATAAGGTTAAGGGTCTTTGAGGCTAACCGATTTACCTACCTACTGTCTTGAAAAAAACTCAACAATACGCAATAATTTTCATTATTATTACGATAAATGCAATTGCTTTTTTTACCAGACTATACGAAAGGAAAAAATAAATTACCATAATAAGTTCGTTTGCTGCAGGTCAAAGTTTTAAGACGCAACTTCGATATCCCATCACTGCCAATGGAGATTATTTCATGTAAGGATGTATTATAAACACAAACATTTTTCTCATAAACTACCCTTAATCAAAAATCGTACTATTTGTGAGAGCGGATAAATAGTATATCATAATATTTTACCTATTTATAATAATAGCTATTAAAGGGTAGAAAATAACCAAATTTATCAATTTTTTTCGCATACAAAAAAATTCTTTATTAAGTATATAAAATACAATGTATTTTGTGATACAATATAGATGGTGTACTATAGTCTATAATGTGTGTATATTTTTTTTAATTCCATTTGGGCAACTTATGAAAAAAAATTATGTTTGTATTACAGAATACATTTTAAAATAAAAATTAAAAGTTTAATGTATTTTAATTACCTATAACATTAAAACGTTTTTTTACTTATTATTTTATGGAATTAAATTACTTTTTACATTTAAAATAAAATATATTTAATATTTATTGATATGGACAATATGCACGTAGATGCATAAGTATTTTATTTCCTGAAGTTCATTAAAAAAAATAGCACAAGAGCATACACATCACCCGACATAGTTGAAAAAATAATAATTTATTACAACTCAATAATAATGATAATAATAATAATCTTTTTATTAATTATGGAATAAAATGACGTTTCAAGGAATTTGTAACTGACATGACGTGACTTAGCGATGTGTATTCCGACGCAAATTGGACATATTATAATGTTTTCAACAGAGGGTTCGTAGCTAATTTACGTTTGAGCTCGTCAAAGTGTCACACCGCGACTTCGTGAAAACCGACCGTACGCTAAACTTTAGGACTGGTCACAAAACAAGTTTTCACGCTTCCCCTTATCTGGGAACGTCACGGGCGCAGCCTCCGGCTCCTCAATTTGTCAAAACCGTTCCATTAATCTTTCAATAAAGAAAGTCATAGCGACCGCTATGTTGTGAGTATATAATTACAGTATACGTATATCAGGGGTGGCTAAACTGCGGCTCCCGTCATAGACTTATATGGCTCTCATCTTATCGTAAGATACAAACATTATTACAAAAAAAATTATTTTCAACATGAATTTATGAATTTATGTATTTGAAAAAGAATATTTTATTAGATTTTAATTAATAGAAAAAATTTTTTTTATGTAATATTTACACTAATATATGACCGCAACTCGTATATACTTCTCATAAGCCCGAATCGCAACTCGTACATTATTTAGGGATTGGTTCGCAATTCACTTACACCAAATTTTTCAATATCTTCCTTGGATTATCTAGAGCATTTTCTCCTATATTAAGTAATACAAATATTCAATGTATCTTGGTGAACATTGAATTTTTTTTTTTTTTAAATAATAATAATAATTACGTGTGATTCTATATAACTATGTAATAGTTTGAAAATTTATTCTATTATCAATAAGATTGAATTCACGAAAATCTCTAATCGTCATGCCCAAAAATAAATCCTTCCTTTTTTGCCTAAGTCCATAAATTTTAACAAATTTTTCACCATTTGCATTTCTTTATAGTCTTTCTAAATTCTCATTTAGTTTTAACCACTGTTACAAACTAAATAATATTGAAGTCAAAAAATATATTTTAGAATTGTAACCTTATAAATTAAGCAATTTTAATTGTATGAAAATTTACATCGTAACTATATTTATCAACCGCAAACATCGAATTAATGTCAGCTTTAATGCATTTTTTAGCTACATTAACTTCACTGTCTGACGAAATACAAGAATCATTCTCGGTAGACTAAAAGAAAGTAATAGACAATAAGTTCATTATTTCTGAAGTGCTACGTGTTTAAAAACAAAAAAATTACAATATATTTTATGCTTTGGCTTAGTATTTTTGTAGAACAATCAACTTTATTTATTTTACTAAACAGTTGTTCAATTAACTCTGATATTATACTTGTCGATCATTACTGAAAAACATTTTTACTAACGTATATATTACTTAAAATTATTTTTTTTACTTAACTTATAAGGAAAACATTCATGTAGTTTTTTAAAAATTTGTTCAAACTAAAACTTGAATTCGATTTTTGAAAAAAAAAAATATAGCAGCCGATACCGGGCGACTTGATCACTGTAGTCAACTAAAAAAAAACTTACAGGACATCATAACACTAATTTATTTTTTATTTGAAGTTTATTGGTATATTATTGTAGTCAACACAATGAAAAACGTTTTGGTAAAAATCCGAAGATAAAAAAATTATTATTCAATGAGATAATGAGAGTTGATGAATAGCCGTGTGATATCATAGAGCCGATGAGTAAGCAGCCGCCTTATGTTTTACGTGTAAAAGTAGTTTGATTTACACAATAATTATAATAACTTAAAATAGTATTTCAGAATTCTTTTTTTTTTCATAATCATAAGTATATTTATGTGCTTCAGACGATGGTTTAATTTAAAATTGAATATATCTTTTTGTAGCATAAATATATTATAAATTATAATTTTGTAAAATTATTGAGTTCGCGATTCGTGTCGTATACTCGTATAATAACCAAATTTTACGAAATTGACTATGATAGTTTTATCTACTAAAAAAACTAGAAAGTATATCAAAATTAAAATCACACCAATTTCATAAACACAAAAAAAACACTTAACTCTCAAAGATTGTACAAAAAAATCTAAAAATATTATATTTAACGATTGAAATCGATGTGTAATCTGGTCCAGGGGTCTGCGACCCGCGGCCCTCAAAGCAATTTTTGATGGCCTGCACAAAGGTGGTTAATTTTTGTGTTTTATTTTTGTTCAATAACATTTTTCATATAATTTTCAATATTATATAATTCTTTTTCCTTCGTAAATAAAATCTAATCTAACCGTTTTATAATAGCACTACAATTATAAGTATTATATCATAATATGAAATTTTTTTTTAATGTAGCCCTTGATGAACAATTAAAAAAAAAATGACCCGCGTGGTTAAAAAGGTTGCCGACCCCTGATTTAGACACTTTTGCACGTAAAACATACGCCGCTGTTCCAATTTCGACTCTACGAAGTCACATGCATATTTTCAAACGCCTGCATCTCATTGAATAATTAGTGTTTAAGTGTGAAACCCACCACCCACGCCATATTTCTAAGATGATGACATACTTTAAATCTAAGCAAACTTATTTTTAGTGTTGTGATGTCCTTTGAGGTACACTTAAATTTGTAAGTGTATCCACATGAAGACTTTCGGGCCATTTTTAAAAATAGCACTATCAGATTACTGTATAAAGCTTGTACAGACTTTCAAAACTTTGATCTAATCGTCGTTGTAGATTTGTTACATCTGAATGATAGCGTTAAATCATCGACCTACGAATAAAATTTGAAACAGATGTTTCCGTCAGGTAGTACTGGAGTAGACCCGGGAGAGTGTACCATCGGGCGAGTTTATAATCGGGAGAGTTTAAAATCGCCCGTAGCATACATGATGGTTAGGGTTAAATGGAGACATGTATATTGCTGCAGGAGAAGGTGATTTCTTAAATATGTAAATACATAGCCGGTGTAGCACACGGTCAAGACATTAAATTATTATTAAACACTTAAAAATCATTATTAATGTATAGCATTCGTCAGTGCTAATTTATAAAATTGTGCTACCATAAGTTTTGGAATATTATGAGAAAATACAATTTTTCTGAATATACGTAGAAGTATTTGAATAACGGGGTGTGGTTGATGGCAAACATAGACATATATAAACATTGTTTATATATGTCTATGACGGCTAATAATAATATTTAAAATAATAAAAATATATGATAACACTGATAACTGATAGCGATGTGATAACTGATAAAACAGTGGATTTAATAAATATAATTGACTTTTGTGATGTATACGGTGGAAGGGAGTAGGAGGTGGTGGTGGTGGTTATGGCAGGGAGCAGGAATATGCGGCGGTGGGAAGAATTAGGGAATAGGACTTTTAAATTGGTTATTTCATCCAACTAAATTTAATGTTCACTTAAATACAGGTGATACGACATCAGTTAGCGTTCATTTTGCTTTGCCTTGAGAAGCTACGGCATCCATTGCTTTTTTTACGGTTTTTTCATCACCTAAAAACTTCATAGAAACCAGAGGTTTTAAATTCTCATCTAGTATATATTCAAACGGTATGCCTGTTGGTAAGTTCAACCCCATAATCCCTTCATCTGTGATATCTGAAATATAAGATAACGCTTTTCTTAATTACTTACTTATGCTTCTCTATGGGTTCCACTATAAACCAATAATCTAAAATTGTGTTTATAGTTTTTGAAAGTAACTTATTAGAATAGAAAAAATGTGTTTTATGATTGGTATATAATACTAATCTAAGTTCTAAAGGTAATATGAAAATATTTAAATAATTAAGTTAAAAATGAAGACAATATTTATTTTTTAATATTAAATGGGACTTAGAATATAATGCTCTCAATAAAAACTCTCAAAAAATGCTTTTATGTCAAAAATTCAAAATAACGGATTTATAGAAGGCAATTATATTTTTAGTTTAAAATCTAATCTTTTAATATATTACAATATCGATTTTTATATCGTACAGATTCTTTTGAAAAATTGAGATTAATAATATTCGAGTAGATATATAAATAAAAACCTTATAAGCATGTTACAAAGTAAATTTTTAAATAAAAATATTAAAATTAAAATTAAAAATAAAAACCGAATTTTATTATTAGATATTTTTTTTTTTTTTAAAATAACCCTAAAATTTAAATTTTCCAAAAAATACATTTGACTAAATTTTTGTAATTTCAGATTGCGTATAATAAAATATCGGTACACACATAGTAAATTAAAAATGATACTAAGTCATCATGGGGATAAAAAAAAACAAGTCATTCGATCTAATAGTCAATACCGATAACAACATTGTCACACTCACTGTCTAAATATTTAATTATGCCCCTGAGACTATTTCCATGAGCTGCTATTAAAATTTTTTTATTTTTTTTGATTTGAGGGACGATCACGCAATCCCAGTACGGCAGCGTTCTGTGTATAGTCATTTTTAGAGATTCGTGTGTTGGAAACTCACACTCGATAGGACCCTCTGCGTAACATGGATTATTTCTTATGTGATAGTAGTGGAGATGAGTAATCTCCATTGGTGGGGGTGGGATATCGAAGCTGCGCCTCCAAACTTTGACCTGCAAAGAACGATAACTTAGTATGATAATTTATTTTTTCCTCTTGTATAGTCCAGTAAAAATATACCATAATTATATTTATCGTAATTCATTGTAATAATAACGAAAATTTTAATAATTAATAATGCAATGGATTATATACCTGATCTTCGCCATATTTCTCAGCGGTTTCAGACTTGTTGAGGCCCGTCAGCCCTCCGTAATGCCGCTCGTTTAGTCGCCATGTCGTGTGCACCGGGATTTTTGTTTGACATATTTGGTTTAGAATGACACTCAGAGTGTCTTGAGCTCTTTTCAAGACGGAAGTATGAGCGACATCAAACTGGTAACAACGTTGTTTTAGCGTTTCCCCGGCCAAAATAGCTTCTTCTACACCTAAAATAAAATAACCAATTAAATGTTTGAGAATTATAATAAAGTAATACATAACATCATTTGATAATGATAATTTTTAAATGTTTACGATGAATTTAACTAAAATTTAAACTGATTTAAAGCTTTTTTAGTTATTAACTTTTTATTTCATACGTTTAGTATGCAGTACATATGAGATAGATATTGCATATTATATTATTATATTTATATATAAGTCTATAAGTTACAATGACAAATTTTGAAACATTAACTTGTATGCTTTTAACAAAATTAAAATACACAATACAATTTATAAACGCTTCTGAAACCCGTTAATAACTTTTTTAAGCTCAAAAATAGGACAACTTGACAGTACTATAGTTCAGATCTTAATTCTTACTTTAGGTACCTATGTAGTATATATATAATTAAATATTAATATAATTTATTAATTATAATATAGAAAGCCCTAATCCAAGTAATTGTAGAAATATTTATTTATATTTAAATGTATTACATTTTTTTTTCATTTTTTCTACAGTAACATACAACAGTGAATAATGTTTATTAGATTATTAAAAATAATAATAAATCATATACCAACTATAGTTTAACTACATTAAGAGTATCGGAGATTTATTTTGTGTAAAAGACCTTATCTTATAATAAAAAAATTTAAACTGTCATTATGTTTCACGTAAATATTTAAATAATATCAAAAAAATTTCATATTTACCTTTACTACTCAGGCTGGCGTCGTACCAACCACAGAACAAATTTTTTCTATTCCAATCACTTTCTCCGTGCCTTACCATTACAATTTTGTAATTTTTAGACGTCGACTTTTAATAATTAAAAACAAAATTTAAGGTTATTAACTTATAATAAAATCAGCAAAGGTTATTACATATAATTATGAACTTACTAATAGCTTAATCATGTAGGTATATAAGAAATGAGAATAATTACCTAAAAACTAAATTATTGATCTATAATATAACGGTGATTCAAGCAAAAATAAACAATAAAAGTTATGTGAGTATGGTAGTGCTCACATTAAATTTTTTTAGAAGTATTCATTCTATCTATTGTACAACAAATAAATATCAACCAGTTCACTAAATTCTAAATAAGTTTTCAGGTGCAACAATAACACTCCTATGAATAGAAATTGTAAAATTTAGGTATATATTTAATTATTAATTATGTATAGGTATTTCTAAAAATAGTTTTCTTGTATTTAAAATACTTCATCACATCAGGGGATCTATTTTGTAGGTCGAACAAACAATTTTCGTACCTATAGGAAAAACTCAAATTACTTTATGGTATTCTATAGGCAGTTTTTTGATGTATGGTTTTACGGACAATAGTCCAAATTCTAAAGTACAGAAATCGTTCATACATCGTGCGGTGTATAAAACAACTTTTGGGATATACTATTATTAATATTAAATAATTGTAAAGTAAAACTTACTTTAGAAGTATCACAATTTTTTTTAGAAAAAATATTCTTGGAGGTCGAAAAACATTTTCTTGATTGTTTAATCGTTTTAAAAAAAAATGTTGTAAGTGAATTAAACATTTTTTTGAATCGTACGAATTAAAAAATATTGAAAATTTATAAATTTCTAAGCTTAAAGATTTATTAGATTATTATTACATTATTAATAATAACAAAAAGGAAAATATTTTTTAGACTTTGTTGCTATGCTAATAAATTACGAATAGAATATACAATTCAACTTTTTAATAATTAAAATAGTTAATATTTTTTTTTGTTTATAAGTTTTTAATTAAATTTCATAATAATCTTTATTTTAGAAAGTTAATTATATTTATTGGGCTACATTCGAGTTGCGGTTAGAGACGATTTTTGAGATAAGTACATGTAACAGTTGCGGTCACGCAAATTGTAGGTAATATCCTATAGTTATTTTTATAATTGCGGTTATATATCTATGACTTATTCATAAAGTTTATAAGTAAAATAAATAAAATTGTTTAGTCCAATCGTAGTTTTGAATATTGCATTTAACGATAAACATATTTTTCGATTTATTATATACACAGTATATATATAGTGAAAACACCTCTACTTATCTGTAAAGTTTATATATAAAATAAATTAAATTGTATAGATTGATCGCAGGGCCGGCTCAAGGGGTAGATGACATAGGTGCATGCTTAGGGCAGCATTTGAAAATTTTATATTATAGATAATTTTTAAAATATTATGTGTTGTAAAATAAGAATAGATAAATATTTGTTATAATATTAATAAAGCATTTGACGTCATATAGAAATTATAGTACGAGTCAGATAAGATGTTATAATAACTGATACGCTTATAAAGTATATGGTTTGTATTCATAAACAACAAACAACGTTAAGCGTAAGATAAAAATCCAAGAAAATGACAAATAGAAAATAATTTTTACAAGAATTTCGATGACAATAATTCTGTATATTGTTTATAATTTTGAGCCGATTAGCGCTACAAATTACTTGTGCCATGTTGCCCCATTTGAAGCATCATAATATTTATATTTTGTACGTAAATAATCGATACGATATTTTTTATTGATTGAAATAATTACGAAAATAATGGAATCAATATATTATTTTTATATTGATTCTCCAAAATCGATAAAAGACACAACACGTGTGAGACTTTTTATTTAAGTTCGTCTCAAATAATTTTATATTTATTTGTCTGTTTACTGTTGACTGACGACCTCCATTTGGAGAACATTGGTCACCAGATACTTCTACTGTTTTACAGGTACAGTCGTTAGATTCTTATAAAATTATTCAACACCAAATTATTTAAAATTTGATGAAGTTTACAACTATAAACAAAAGTATGCATAAAATATTAATTATTTGAGCAAGTATCAAAATATTGTGAATTGTGATAGGTACGCACTTTAGTACCTGCACGCGTTATATGACATATTAATCGATGTCGTACTACTCGTACTAAACAATTTTTTACTTTAGTAAGATCTCGTTAATCCGAACGGCCAACGGCATTGGAGAAAGGCGTCGTTCGGATTTCCTAGGTATGGCTTTAAAATGGCTCTTCTTCCACCTAATAATGCAAAATTGATTACATTTACTGACTATATTTTAGAAGTGTATAGATTTGAAAGATTCGATATAACTGCCATCATTATGAGCTGAATGTTCTTATTCCATTACACGAACAACCAATGCATGCGAAAGTTTTAATTCGAAGCTTAATAGCATGTTAAACCACTCTCACCCAAATATTTATATACTTCTTGAGGCTATAACGATTTTATATCCGAATGTTATGTTATATTTTATGTCACCGAATGATAGAGGGCGAGAAAATGTTAGATTATAGAGACGCGTAAAATGGTACGTGTACAGATGCATATCCACAAATGCCGAGAGAAACTAAACTTGATATATTGTCACTGTGGTAATAATTGGTACCGGCGTAACATACGCTATTAGATATTAGTACGCACGAGTGCAAATCATGTGATTTCGATATCGATGATTGTATTGGCGAGGATATTATGATGTCGAAGACTTTACGAAGTGACCATATTAATCGTGTTGTAAAATGTCTGTAGTGCCGGTACAGCAGTTTCCAGATTTGGTGCAGGCGACGACCGGATGCACACGTCGTGATCGACGGAGCGATCAGTGGCGGATCCAAGAGGGGGAGGGTAATAGGGTAAATATCCCCCTTGAGCTTATGTTAGGCTACCCAATACCCAAAATAATTACGATAAACTGTCTATCAGGACTTGGCATGACGATTCATTACCCCCCTCCCTTAATAAATTCTGGATCCGCCCCTGGGAACAATAAGTATAGAGTATCAGTATATGAGTACAGCGGCTGAGTAACGTCACCGTTTTGTTCCACTGATTTATTGTACCGGCGCGACGGATAACAACGTTATGGCGTCTATTAGTAACGATGGTACCGATGATAGCGACGTATGATGGTGAAGACTTTACACCTTACAAGGTAACCATATCAGACAAGATGGTCATGGTTATACATACATTCAGGAATGGGCAAGATACTCATAAATCAGTATCGCGATACTACATACAAGGATTTGGAATATCGAGGTACTAGATATTCGATATTTACACTTTAAGTATTTAGATACTTGACACTCGATACCTAATACTTGATACTTTGATACATTTTAAAAATATTAGTCATAGGATTATTTTTAACTGTATTTATACACAATTAGGTAGGTTGTAAAAGTATAATATATATATATATATATAAATTAGTTAATATAGACCACAAAATGTAATAACTTAATAATAATATATAGGCAATAAGTTAAGTTAAATCCCGTTTAATGTGAATTTGTGGTGTGTCAAGGATGAGCAAGATACTCAAAAATCAGTATCGCATTACTAGATACTTCATATAATTGTATTGAAGTACAAGATACCTACAATTATATCCAAAATATTATCTTAGATACTTGTATCGAAGATACTGGCCGCAATCCTATATGTCCAACACTCCGCTCGACCGCCTAAGGTAACGCGAATATAAATAATCAGTGACCATATCAGTTCTATTCTCACGAACGCCATCAGTTCTCTTCACCGCTTTTTTGTATCCATCAATTCTGTCATAGTTTTTAAGTATTTTTTTTTTTTATTTGGATAATTTATACCTAATGACAAATACTCTTGTTATATAAATATTATAACATAAATAAAATATTTTGTGTAGGTATACAAAAAACAAAATTTGTTTTTCATGCGATCATTCATTATTCATAATGCATGTACCTCTACACGTATTATTGTCCGAGTTGAAATGGTTTATATCCAACAAAAAACCTGGAGATCTATCGCTAACTTGTACGATAAGTTTCGAATGTAGTACCAAGACTACTCGATGTCGAGAGAGATCACTGTAATGGATATGTTTTGAAGTGTGAATTCATATCATTATTGATTTGTATTGCCTACTGGACACCGCTAATAAATAAACCAAATTTTAAGCAAAGTTTACGGTTATAAAGATTCGTAATTTATAGAACGTAATCTGTGAAATAGATTCCCATTTTAAAAACATCAAGTAATACTGCAGATCATCTATGGACGCCAAAGCTGGCTATTTAAAGGAGTTTAATATAGGCAATTTTAATGACACTTGGGGAATTCAAATCAATTTAAACATTTAAACACAGTGTTATGAAAATTCCAACAATGGTGATGGGCATTAAAGAGATTAAATAGAAACATTTTAATCGCTCAAAATACAGTATAATCAAAAATATTTATAAAATTTTTATTGTAATTCTTCAATAAATTACATTATTTATTTATTCAATTAGTTTTCTTAACTGGTCTATTAGTCATGTGTATCAAAACTACTGAACTGTCAATATATACATTTTTTTGACAAACATTGGGGTTTTTTTTTTAAGTCCAATAACGTCTTAATATATTCATGTACCTACATTGTAATATTAATTATTTTTATTTAGTGTCTATTGATCATAATTGATTGACCTAAACAAAGGCGAATTGCCCGAGTGGATAAAATTTTACTATTGCCGTATTAATGAAATCTTATTTATATTTTATAACTGCCTATATAATAGCCCATTGTATAATGAACAGTGACACAACTGAAAGTTACAAGACTTGCAATAAAAATAAAAATGTAGGCTCCATTTTTTTGTGAATTTATACGAATTTCATTTTCTCAAAAAATAAATCAAATATTAACACATAATTTTAAGTGTCATACATTATATAATATAGTATCATTAGATGTTATATTTTGAAATATTTTTAAAACAACTTATTTCCAAATAAATATCAATCATTTTCTCGAAATTCACTTTACGAGTTGTAATACTAAGCCACACACACTCGATAATCCCAGGATTTTATTTACACCTAGGTATTCATTTATAAAATCACTAAAATTACTGTGGAAGTCATAAATTTGAATTATAACTAGAAAATTTTTAGCAGTTTATTATTAAAATTATTTTCAACGTGTTGGAGCCTCTTTTAAATGCATAGGCCCGTGGCTTTTTGCGCATCGTGCCATTCTATTGTTACTACACCATTATGTACGGAAAAAGTACAAATTCGAAAACTCAAACAATCAAGATTTGAAGAATACCAGTTTCTCTGATCTTAAAATTATGTGGTATAATTCTTCATTATTTTTACCATCAACTATATGTAAAATTGTAAAAATAATATAAAAAAATCAAATTTCATTCTAGATAAATGACAAAAAACGATAATAAGACTGCAGCATACCCCAGTGTTCATGTCCATAGAATAAATATATATTATGAAATTTAATTTATTATTCCATAATCAATCAAAAATTAAATTTTTATTCAGTATAAGCTTATATTCAGATATTCTAGGTAGTAAACAATATGGATAATAGTTTAAGACTATAAATTTAATATGTATAATATACATACACTTTTAACACAATTCTTGATTCATGGATATAATTTTGTTGTGATAACATTATATATTATAAGGCCAGATCTTAGCAAACTGCGGAATTTAGATAGGTAGTCACCTAAAAATTAATTATATTAGATTTATTTAATGTCAATATCTTACAGTCATGTCAAGTCTCTAGTCGACAGGATTTGATCCAACACTTTAAATGTTTTTGAAACTGAATTATCTATATTCCAAATCTAAATACACAAATACAATTTGTTGTATCCCCTGTATACATAAAAGCATTAAATAAGTCGACGCACAGGCGTTATGTCAAACTAAATAAGCTTAAATGACCCACCAATTTATTAAATGAATATCTTATATTTATAAATAGTAATTTAATATGATGACTAATGATTAAAATAATTATTTGTTTTTTCTATTTCAGACATAATTTTAGGTATATATTAATTTGATTAAAATGAATATTTGAAATAAAAATAATAATAATAAATCACTAATATGTCTTCATAATAAATTAATAATAAAACTGATGTGAAATTAAAATATGTTAATCAATGCTAATTAAATGAACACATGCATATGTACAAAATATGAACTTAGGTCATCAAATACACATTTAGGATTTTGAAAAAATATTTTTCATAACATACAATAACTTGAATTCCAGTCATAAATTAGTCACCAATCAAATTTAAAAAAGGCTGTAATTTTGATGTTAATTCTTAAATTTAAATAACCAGTATTTAAATTCAACCAACATAAATAATTATTTACACATATTTTTATAAGTAACAAAACACCAAACTCTGTTAACACTGAGCACAACACCAACAATTATAGATACCCGACACAACATTTATTTAACTTCAATGTTTAACGCCATTAATAAAAATTAAAAAAAAAACACGAATATTTCATATTTAAGTAATTGTGTAATTAATTTAAATTAACAAAAATAACAGTAGTATGCCATACATTATTTAAGACAATTAAAAAAAAAAAAAAAAAAAAAAATAGTAAAATCGCGAATTACACTTTATTATAAAGCTGCTATAACGCACAAAATTAATTTATTAATTATAAAAGTATTTATTTTATCTAAAACAATTACAACACTTCAAAAAAGATTACTGAACAATCCAAGTTAAGTGGAATGCTTGATAATTTACACCATTTTTTTTAAAGAAATAAGAGAAGCAGTTTTAATAAATATAAGATTGGTATTAATATTAACACTTATCAATAATAAATTTTTTAATATTTTAAATGGTTACCAAAATAATTGAATCACTTTAATTCATATTAAAAAACTTATAATAGTGTTCTACGAATTATACATTACAGCACAATCTATATAAATACTGTTATGCACTCAACATGTTTTCATGTAATTAAACTGTGTTTATAAACTTGAATCAAACTAAAACTTTTTGTTTAATTTTAAATACATCATAATAATTTTACACAGATTTCATAAACCACATTAACTTGTTTTGTTATGGACTTATGCTTTCAAATTAAGAAAATAAATACTGTAGCATTTAACAGTCATATCAATTTGTAGCCAATAAAAAAATATTTAACCTAAATATATTCTATTATAAAATTATTAAATGTCGTAAATATATATAAAAAAAATGGATACGTCCCGTATATATTATTAATAGGTAAATATACTTAAAAATTTGATTAAAAAATGAATATCTTCTTATGAAACACCCCCACTAACTACTACCACAACTAAATGGTCATCTTTCAATGTTTCACTGCTTAAATTTTTTGCACTTTGTTTCAATAATTTGGCTGAATACTCACATGGAGGAAATGCATATAATACACCAGCTGGTTCAGGATCCTTATTAATTAATGATATAACCCCAGCAGCTTCTTTTTGCTTTAAATAAGATACTAAGTTACGTAATGGTCTAATTTGTACCAATGCATCATCATTAACAATTGAGTTAGTAGAACAAGGCATTGCCAAAAATATGGCATGCATATCAGCAGTAATTATACGTTTAGAAACATCTTCCAATTTTGGCTGGTCTAAACGCAATCGTTGAGTTATGCGTAAAGTTGATTTACCATCTTCATCTTTCATCATTAATTCAATGACACTAGGATCGCCAGAAGTTAAATAGCATTTAGCTGGGAATTGAGAGCTCTTCAATACAAGACTGCCTTGCCATATATCAGTACACTTACTAGCCAATTCCCCTAAAGTACGAACAGAACTTAAAAGACTTGCAGACTGTAATGCTCCTTCTTCAGATTCTACATCACTATCAATCGATTGGTGAAGTGGTGATCGAGGAGAACCAATATCAGAAACAGAATGCTGTTTGAATGAACGGCCGTTCTCATAGTTGCCGAATTCTCTGTTTTCTTCACTGTATTCAGTACGATCTTTGCGATAACTTCTTGAACTATAAGGATATTCACCATCTGGCCAACCATATGGATATTCATCTCGTCTAGTTAATTCTCGTAAATCTCCTGCAGTTGCAGCAACATCATCATGTGATGACTTAGACTTTGATGAATAAGTTAATGTAGGACTACCACAGACACCTCCATCAGCAAAATCTGTTCTCAGTTTATGTTCTGGGCCTCCTAAAGCCACTCCTCTCATTTCTTTGACAGCTGCAGTAGCTGCATCAATGCTTTCAAACTGTATATAGGCGCAAATGTCACCTTTGACATACTCAATTTTTTTAATAACACCAAATCTATCAAATTCACGTTCTAGCTGAGCAAGTGATGTCCAAGGACCCAAACCACCAACCCATATTCGTTGTGTTGGTGTAGATTTTCCATAACCAATTTTACATTGAAATTTGCCTAAATATTGACCTGATAATTCAACTTTGGCCCTATGAGCCATATCTAAATTCTGATAACGGACAAATGCATATGCATTTCCTGTTCCTGGCAATGGTCGTTTAACATCAATATCTTCCACAACTCCATATCTACCAAATATACGACGAAGTTCTTCATCCGAAATAGAAATTTCTAAATTTCCAGCAAACAATGTACGTGTAGCTAACGGATCGTCTTCTGGTGGAATGTGGTGCAAGTAGTTTGGAAATTTATCTTTTTTATCATGCATCAAGTGAGGATGAGGGTGTGGTCTAAAGGGAGGTATAAAATGTCTTGGTGGTCCATAAAATGGATGAATTGGTCCTAAATGAGGATGTATAGGAGCCACATGATGCAATAATGGTCCTCGAGGTATCATAAGTTCATGAGGATGTAATGGTGGCAATCCTATTTCTCGAAAGTCTCGTGGTGGCAGCATAGGGGGAAGAGCACCATATGGTAATCGTTCATAAAACCTATCCACTGGATGTGGCCTATGAAGTTCTGGAGGAATAGGAGATCTATGATAATATCGATCAAAATCTGGAGAATAACTTTGAGATCGAGAACGTCTAGCTCTTGGTTCATAATGATCTCTAGAACTACGACCTTCATAAACAGGTGTAACTAAAGCTATTTTATCAAACAAACTTATTCTAGGCTTACTATGTTTGGCATCTCTAGCATCTTCTGAGTTTCTAAAACACACATAAGCCACTCTTTCATCTAGTTCATGTGATATTCTAACAGAAAATTCACCAAATTTACGGTATTCTCGATATAATGTTTCTTTGACTTCATCATCACTTGCTTTGAGATGTAAAGCACTCACACACAACACTTTATAAGTGGGATGTGATCGATCCAAATCCCTAGAACGACCATACTCGTCACGTTCTGAATACCTAGATACTCTAGGACTGGGTGGTGATCGAGCTCTACGGCGTAAACGTTCGGGTGAACCTCGCTCATCTGAACTATCATCATACCTGTTTATACTGCTATGACGCTTTTTACGTAACATAGGAGGAGAATCACCATAATTTCTGCGTTTCATATTATCAATTTTCACAGTGATTTTTTTTGATTTAAAATCAATAGGCAATCCAGTCATTCACACTGTTGCACAATAAAACCATTAAAATACCTAGAAATATTCATTATTTAATTAAAATTTAGTAACACAACATTATTAATAAACAATAAGTATAATTAAGTATTTTAGTTTAATTTCATCAATATTAAACAACACAAACTAAGTAATAGTAAAGCACACTCACTTGTAAAATTTTAAAACGAACAATAGACTATGTCACGGTACTGAGGATCATGGAATGTCAATGCAAAATAAAACTCAAAAACAACTGGAATCTAGTAACTACAGCGGTAACTATACAATTTAAATACAAAAAAAAGTTAAAACTTAATAAGTAAACTAAATAATTAATACTTAATAGTATTCTTTAAATAAAAACTGATAGTAAATGATAAAATACGGAATATAATAACGTATTTACGTGGAAAGCAGCCAGTCTTCAGCTGTTGCATACTACATTTCAGCCATCAAAATTCTACTGTCGCATAAGTATTAAAATAATTTAATTTAAAAATTGTGTAATGTACTAATGTACTAGCGCATCACAATTCACTGATATAGGTACAACCAACGACCAATATCTACATAAGTAAATAGAATTAAGCGATGAGTGGTAACTGATGAAAAGGGTGATTGAAACGCAACTACGAAAGCAAAACAAAATGGCTTGCAAACAACACTGTACTATCGATAACACAATGCCTTCAACACTACAACAATCGATATATATTTTTCACGTCGATATTGTAGATCTTACAACCGTGATTATAAAACACGAGTTTAATGTTAAAATTGTCACAACCACGCGAACATCAATATCACAGAAATTATTATTTTATACTTCTACAAATTAAGGTTATAACTTTAAAAGTATTCGGTAATAACTTGTAAATTGTAACTTTTTTCGTAATTAGAGTTTTTCAATTTTTGTAATTTCTGTTCATTTTATCAATCGTGATCGCGATAATCTATAACAATTGTGATTAAAATTGTCCAACAATAAAAGTTAGGTTAAGATTATTACGTCATAATCTATAGTCGTTGTAACATACCTACATTATTAATTGATCTGGCGGCACTTTAAATTCAAAATATTAAATACAAATTACCTTCTAAAATAAACAATATTCATATTCAGTCAACTGACTTTCATTTCAGTCGTTAATTAATTTGTAATTAATACAATAATATACCTACAGTCTTTTACATTTTTTTATACACAAGATATCTAGATAATTATATTTAATTATTAAATTTACACTCGAGCTGATAATACTGTACTTTTATTATTTATTTTTTAAGAACTATATTATAAAAATATAAACCAACTTTAAAGCAAAAATTCTGCTAATTAAATTGAGATTTCCATACAAATGATAAACTATTATAATTTTGAACTATTGAAAAAATCTAATTCTCATAAAATATTTCTATGTATATTATTAATGATGAATTCAATATAATAAATGTATATATTATAATTATTGTTATTAGTAAAATGTATAAACAATTTTTAATTTTATAAATTAGATTAGATTGCATATAATAATTGATATATGTAGGTATATATAAAATATAACTATGTGTTGTACAGTACCTATACATAATTTTATATATTTTTAAACTTATATAAGTATTAGATATTATCTTTCTAAATATCAGGTAATAAGTTTACCCATAAAATTTTTATACTTAATCTAAAACTAAATTCAATTATAATGGTAAGAATGATTTAAAATTTAATTTCTTTAATTAATATTTCAGTAACATATTAAATTTGTCTTGTTCAATGTTCATTAATTCATCTAATGCTCTCCACCCATTTTTCTGTGTAGACAGTATATAGCTGTTTGATAAATCTCTCATACTTGATTTTTTACCCAAAACCAAACTTTGACAAATTCTAGCACAAACACAAGTCTGAAATAAAATATAAGTATTCATGCAAAATACCATAGTCTTATTATTATATTTGTTTGTAATAAATATTTAGCTTTGAAATTATTACTTAAAATTCATAATTTAATTAATAATTATTAGATAAATATGTAAGACAAGCAATTTTACTATTTTTAAAATAAATAAATTTAGTTTTATAACAATTAATAAGTATTAGTCAAAGAAACTATTAATTTATTTGAATTATACGTGCAAATATATTTAACTTATATCTTCTATCCTTGTTAGTTAATTTAATCATGCAATGTAAAATGTAAAAATTAGAAAAGTATAAACAATTTTACGAATTGAAATAAATGAATAATTATTAATTTGTATAATTACATGTATTATTGAAACTTCAAAATCATTTAAAATTCTGTACTGTTTTTCATAGGCTTCAACAAAATTTTTAATTTGTACATCAGATAGCTTTGCATTATTGTCTTTAAATGTGTGCATAATTAGATAACATAATGCAACAGCAAAATCAAAAATTGTGAATGAATAGATAACATCACCTACATCTATAATACCAAATATTTTGTTATCTTTTATGATTATATTATTCATATTGAGATCTTCATGAATAACACCTGCAATTAAAAATTTGTTTTAAACAAAGTAATAATAAATGTATTATTTAAGTATTAAATTTAAACTTTTTTCAAGTTGATCAGCTCTTAACAAAACATCCAACTGAAATTTATTTATTATAGTAATAATGGTTTGTCGTTTTTTTTCTTGATCAAAAACTTCTAAAAATTTCAAAACTTCTGGACATTGCTCTAAAGCCCATATATGATTTCTATGGAATCCTTCATGATCAAATTTCTAAACATCATTATAATAGTTATATAATAAATTTGGCTTTGAAGTATTTACTTCAGTTAAAAATATTCATGTAAAAATACAAAAATAGGTACCTTAAGAATTAATGTTAAATAACCGACATAAGAACCAAAGTTGGAGATTAATTCGGAGTTTATTTGAACTTTATTCATAGTTTCGCCTTTAATATATTTGTAGACTCTGACTGCATGTGTCTTACCATCTTTTAAAACAAGTATAAAAAAATAACTTCTAAAATTTGTAAAAAGTTAATTTATAATACAACACTTACTTATAACAAGAGACCGATAATTTTCTCCATATTTATTAAGCACAGGTATTGGACAGTTTATTCTAGATTGTTCTATTTTTAAAAACAATATGATATCTAAATTAAAAACTTAAAATATTTTACAGATATATTGTGTTATATATATATATTATATTTTATAAATGAAACAAGCTACTCACTACATAAAAATAATTAAAAACTAAAAAAAAGTATTTAATAATTTATATTTTTTAAAAATACTGACCTAGATACTGAGTAAGTTTTGTTTGTGCATCTAAAAGTAATAAATTTTTTGAGTCAATTGAATTTATGATTTTTATAACTATTCCATCAATTGGAAATTCAATTATTTCAACACATTTTTTGACTTCCTATGTCAAAAAAATACAAAATAAAATCTTTGTTCTTTCTAAACAGTTATATATATATATTTATTTTTGATAAGTTAATTTTATTTCTATATTAATTTATATTTTGTTCATAACTAATTTATGGCCATCAATACTGCAACAACTGTTAATATCAGTTATTTTTATAAATAAAACTGTTATTTCATTAAATCTATGTTCTGTGAGTTGTTAATTATTATGTAAAAATATTGATCTTTATTGTAAATTTTGAATTATACATAGTATTACTGTAAAGATTGGGCAGTTAATTAATCAATCAATAAATAAATATATAAACATGAAAAGTAACAAGATTATTTATGAGAGACAAAGTTAAATGTTTTTTTTTTTTTTTTAACTATTAATATTTAATATCATAATATGTCAATACTGTAAAGCGTGTATAAAGTGCCAGAGGTTAATAAGTCCCCAAAAGGTTTAGTCAACATTTTTTTTTTTTCAATAAGACCTACAACATTAATTTGATTTCTTTTTTATTGATGACCCTCTTTCCCAAATTGTTTCTTGTTTTTACATTATAAGTTTCTGCCAATCATACAATTGAATATCAAGTTAAATTTTATGTAAGTACTTATAATCAGTGGCATATCCAGGGAGGGGATTAAGGAGTTGAAACTTTTCCACTAAACTAGTGTGCATCGCTGTATATTAATTTTATCGAATAAAATAATTTTTAGATAAAAATATTGTTCCTTATAGTTTGTTTGGATTAAATTTAACGATTGTTGACACTTCATGATTTTATATGAAATTAAGTTTGTCTGAAGAAAATATAATACATATTTTGATAGTAAGTTTAGACTACTATAGGCACAAACTGAATTAATGAAGTTTCATCTACTCAGTGGTATAGGAATATATTAAAAATTTAATCTTAGAATCAATATTGGTAATTATATTATACATTTTTGTGCGCCTATCAATTTTTGAAGAAGTTAAAACATCTCTAATTATGAACATTTTAAGAAAAATTTAAGAAAAATCGCGACTTTAAGACATTTGTTTAAAATTTGATAAATAATTGGTAGATAAATATTAATAATAAACATAAAACTAGTCTAATAGATTATGTTGTCATTTATTTATGTACTCGTATATTATTGAATAAAATTAACTATAAAACATTTACACCTATAATGCGAAAATAATAATTTATCTAGTCTAACCATTAAACTGATGGTACCTACGAGAAAATTGAAGCATGAAATCCTATAAAATGTGGGCAGTGGGCACCAGGCAGCAATTCCACCGCCAAACACTGGAACGGCGAGTATTAATTTAGTAATAATTAAATAAATGTAAAACAAAAATATGATACAATGGTACGTTCAATAGCCTCAATACGATTATAATATTTTACCTATTTATCATTTTAAAATTTTAAATACCTATTTTTAAATTAGTTATCTGAAATGCACATGGATTATACGATACACGAAAAGAATGTTGGAAAACTTATGATTTAGTTTATCTCTGCCGCAACAATTTAAAAATTGAGGGAATATAATTATAAAACAATTTAATCTGAATAATTTGTTGTTTAACATATTTATATAGTGCTTGATGCCTTGATAGTATTTAAAAATAATAATTATTATAATTATAATCTTAGTACCTAATTATTGGTATACCATATGGCATATACTTAATCTTTAAGTAATAGGTATACATTTATACGTACTGTTATGAGATAGTTTTTATCATCGTAACCATCTAATTCTTGGATTTTTCCATTGATAAAACCGTAATCGTTTTTCAAAATGTCCACAACCTGATCTTTGTTTATCACGGGGCATATGTTTTCCGTTAAATCTGCCATTTTGTGGTCGTAAATAATTATATTCCTATGACTGTGACAAATAATGAAACTGAATGTACCCCTCTAAAAACAAAGTTAAAAAAATACTTAAGTGTTTTGATTTTATACTTATAACAAAAAATTGAATGTAACATGAAACACACAAGTAATGAAATTGTAGTAAATAAATACTAATTAGATGTAGACGACGTTGTACATCAACATAATAAATATTTAGAATATGCTGCAGTACCTAAGTACATATTTGTTGTCAAACCACGCCCTATTATTTACAAACTCACTATATTTTAGTCACAACAAAATTATATCAGGGGTCTTTTATACTCAATGAATTATCTCTAACTCTCCATAGAATCAAGAGATAATACCACTATCGAGTATCGACTATCATATTACATTTATGATTTTACATTTTACATTAAACCTAATGTATAAGTAGGTACTTATATATAATTAACAATTATTATTTATATTAAAATCAATTAGATCAAATTAGCATCAATTAGAGGGAGTTTAGGGGAAAATTAATAATTCCAAAAAAAACTACTTTTAAAGTTTTATAAACATGACAACCAGTAAGTATAGGTACATATTATGTAGATACAATAGGTAGAAACCCACGTAAATAAAAATCCATGCGAGTGCCATATAATTATTGTTCTTTTTAAAATTTTTGTTAATTTAAGAGTACTTTAGTCTGTCACATTATAATAATAATATAGATAACAGGTAATAATCATAATCATGACAATAATATTAATTAATAATATTAATATACTCATAATAATTCTGATACACGATTTATCGGCTATCGCTCGTTAGTCAATTTTTGATAGTTCATATTGATCATAAAATAATTAAATAATAATTACAGTACTGTCATTATCTCTTAAAACGATTATAACTCGATTTTGATTCAGAATTTTGTTTTTTAAAATCGGTGTATAATTCTCCCATGAATGTCATCGTGAACCTCTTTGAACATCTCCAAGTTATTTTGGAATAACCAATATAATTCAGCTGGTAACCAATATGCTTTGCAAATTACATATAGCCATTGTGACATAATTCTTCGCAACCTTGCTTTAATTTAATAATTTTCGAAGTACAGAAAAAAAAAAAAAACACAAATTTTTAACTTCAGATTTACTGTTTGTAGGCCGTGTAGGTACTATCTCAAAAACCAAGTATACACTAATATCACTAATAGACTTCTATAACCAATGGTACTATAGTACTATACATATTTTTAAGTACTATAATACCCATTAAAATGGATAAAGTACAGTTCACTTGATTTATATTGGTTGGTACCCAACGGCCAACAATATAAAATATCAAATGCTTATCAAATATCAATAATAGTTAGGTAATAAAAAAAAAGAAATATAAATTATTATATTCTACTACTATGATTTGTAGATGCTCGGGATACTCCTAGAATCAATAGAATCCAGAATCTAAAATTAGAAAACTCTATATACATATAGAAATAAATAAATGTTTATTAATAGTTTAAATTAGTTTAAATATTTTTAAATATCAAATACGTAAAGAAAATGATAATTTAACGAAAAGGAAAATGTTTCAAGTTTGGAAAAACAGAACACGGTCTGCTATAGCGGCTTGTACGCAGACCACCGCGCGCAGCTCGCATTCTGTTTGTCGAGCCTTTAATATTTTTTGATAAAATCTAAATTTTTACTAGAACCAATTTCAAACTTGAAAATTTCACTTAATAAAATTTCTGATAAAAAATCCATAAGTTGATGTCAGACACTAAAATAAATAAATAAATAAAAAAAGTTGTTTATACATTTTATGTTTGAATAATAGTAGGTACCTACCAGTGTTTATTTCAGACCTTCTACCCCGGGGGGTATCATAAATTTTCAAGGGGGTATGCCTTAGAAGTAAATAATTAAGGGAAGTAAAAATATCGTTTTAAGCTCAATTTATTGGTTTTAGATAGATACCAACGAATACATAAATTCTTAAAAAAAATAAATAATTTTGGTTAATTATATGAAAACAAATTTAACAGTCATTTACTACCTATAGATACATTACTTATACATTTTATATTAAATAATACTCCATTATTTTTAATGCATATTTTGTATATTTAAGTGCATATCAGGTGATTTTTTAGAGCTACAAGTCCTCTGCCCTACTGATGACTAACAACTATTGATATACGAAAAGCCGCGGAAAAGGTAATACCCAACAAATTATTATTTTATTTTTTTATCAACCGTGGTCCGTGATGCACTAAATAACTTACTCGTACATTCGGCCGATAACTCGTTTCACACATCGCATCACAAATTATGGGGGTTATACCCCCCTCCCCTGATCACACCACTGAAATAAACATTGGCACCTACTAAAGCATTAAGTCTTAGTAAAGTTTTAATCTTTAAGTATTAATTAGGTAGATATATCGCAATTTTGGAGAGTATCTTTTAATAATATACCTAAGACCTAGGTACTTACTCATGAAGTATAGCCATGTAGCATTAATATAATATGTATATACTTATAAGCTGTAGGACTTGTAGAAGGGTATAATCTGCAGCTACCAAATTTTTCATCTTTGATCGTTTTATTACGTACTTACATACCATTGAAGTTTTTTATGTTATTCATTTTTATCGATTTGTGTATGCTTCAATTTTTATTTATAAAGTCAAAAAGCTTAAAAAAATTAAATTTTCTTATTATATCAGACATTTTTCTTAAAGTACTCTGTATTCTAATAATACATATTAAAGATATATTGTATAAGTAAATACTATTTTTTTTTTTTTTTAATGTTTAATGTAAATTTTTATGAAATTGAAATGGAAAATAATGATTCTCCTTTAACGATTTTAGTTATACATTTGTTAATGAAATAATTTAAAAAAATATTTAGTACTTACTCCATTTAATGGTGTAATTATTTAATATTTTAATTTTATTCATAAATATAATACAAGTCCAAAATACAATGAAATCAAAATATGTGATGAACAGGTTAACCATTGGTTAAAAAAATTATCAGGCATGTAAAAATAGTGAAAGATTGAAGCCATGGTTATTGGCGGTGTACAAAAAAACCGAATAATTGGGAAATTGACACAAAATAGTTTACTAGAGAAATCGGAGAAATTATACAGTAATATTAATTAATATTATGTGGTGTTTTTGGGATAAATTAACCTATACCTCATTACTATTAGAAAAATAAATTACCAATACAGTAAATTAAATTATAAAGTATCATTGATTAGGTACCTATTGAAATTAAGTTCAAAATTAAAAATTTTTGTACATTCGTTACTAAAATATATAGTAGTTACCTATCTAATGATGTGAGGTAGGTTCCAATAATTCTACATTTTTACATGTAAGATTTAAGAATAATAATAGATACTACATCACTACATAGAAAAAATTGTACACGGGAGATCAAACAATTTCGTACAAAAGGACATTCGACCAGTTTCAGCAACTTCTGTGGTATAATCACAAAATATATATAATTACTCGGTTGTGTTGGTTCCAGTTAACGTCTTCGTTTCGTTCGAT